TAACCTCCCAGCCAACTAACAGAGCGGTCTTCCAGTGAAAGGCTCCGGGGCAGATCAATATACCTGCGGAACGAACGCACAAAGCAATGCCAGCCACTGTGTTTATGCACAGCAGCGAAGCTTCATTGGCTGCACGCGCTACGTAAAATGAGAGGGGAACCTAATTAAATTTGTTTACGCACTACGCAAATATTATATTATAATTACGGGATGCATTAATTCAATAATTTTAGTGTGCGTGGAATAGCGTCCAGTGAGTGTGCAGGCTGGTGACAAAACGGAGCCTCGACCGCCCCCGTCGGAAAACGCCACGCCACAATTACTCACAAAAGCCCCGTGGCACAAAGCGATTAGTGACGCGGAGCGGGCGGGTCGCGGTATTTGAACAGAGGATTAATTCGCTGTGGGTAATGAAATGCCCTTTTATATTTTCATACAGGTCATCACATCGAACAACAAAAGGTAGCCCCTATAATGAATACTATAGGATCTTGGCATTTTTTGTTGTTGTGCAACCTGTCGGCTCTAATCTGCCCGGATAACTTGTCACATATAATTATCCTGAAGGATTTGAAACAAAATTAAATATTCAACACAATATTTTATTTATTAAAGACATTAATTTCAGCCAATTAATAATTTATTCAAGCAATACAACACTATCTTTACACATAGAGAGATAGAATCCTTTATTCATTTAGCAGCATGACGCCATTATAAATTGACCTCGGAATTTTAAGTACTATAAAGTGATGACTACACACCTGAAATAGGTAACAAAATTAATAAATTATGCTCTATTAGGCATGAAAAGCGACGTTTTAGGCTCTTATAATGAGTTAAAAATGACTAATTCAAAAATTTAAAAACATTTCATGAAAAGTCATATTTCTGGCACCTAAAATGGATCAAAATCAAATCACAACAGAATTAAATAAGGCACTTTTTGATCCAGGAAAGTCAAGTATTTTTACATATGGGAGTGACAACACGCATATTATTTTAATCATTCTCATAATTAGGAGCACAGTGTAATCACTATTTTCTTCCAATTTTTTAAAGTAAAGCGTATCTGTTAAAATAATTCTAAAAGCTGAAACGACCATTCCACTGACACAGAGGTTATACAGGAGCTAACTTAAATTTATCCTCTTTATTATTTCTCTTGCGTATTTTTCTGGAACTTGCCCCCTCTCACCCACCAAAATGTGTTCCATACAACCCTTTACACCATTTCCAGGATTTTTTTATTACGTTCTCCCATTTGCACTTTACTTAGCCTCCACGGCTCCCTTAGCAGTACTTATTTTCACTTTCGACGTCTTGCACCACGGCCACTTGACCTCTGAAAGGTTTGATTTTGCGTTCCAATTTTGCCCTTTTGAGGGCAGGAATGAAAAATTTGTATTTTGTAAGTTTCGCCTTTCCCACAGTAGGCTTTTGCTTGCCCTGTGACTTGCCTGTGATCCTGCAGACGCGCCACGGCGATAAGCCTCAATCTGTCAAACAGCACAGCTGCACTAAGAATGCGGGCATTTGCCTGAAATGTACGCGTTGATCGGAGACTAGTATGAAACATCCTCTTTATATCGACTTACAGACCTCCTTTTATTCGGTTTTTGGCTGAGTAATTTCGGAGCGTTGGCGATTGCATATTCGATCAGGCAATTTCGCTTTACAGTGTAAGAAATTTAAAAAATGTGAGTGAGTGATCCGCCCGTGAGTATGTGATCACTCCCAACCAGAGGCAGTGAGGCTCACAATATGATATTGGTATGCCTGGCCGACTTGTATTGTAAACGTCCAAATTCAGAGCGAGAGTATCTCTGTAACTACAAAAACGAAACTCCGCATGCGTTTCAGTTTCGAATAATCTAAAACATTTAGGACTTCACAAAAATAAAACTCAATTACAGTGCAACCACGATTACCGCCTTTCATCACACATCACCAAACTACTTCTCTAATTGCGTGTTAAATATGAGCCAAGATCATTTCTATGAGAGTGACAATGTTTGCTGTTCTGGATAGTGAATCTTTCCTGAACAATGTTTTTGGCTACAAGATCACATAGAAGGGCATCGGTTGCTCACTGCGCTCTGACACAGATCACAAGAGATAAAATTCAATATAAATTCTTTCCAATGAATGTATTTTTTCCCACTCAGGCAATCTCCTTACAAATACATGCATCATAATGTCAAACCACGCATCCAATGCAGCATATCATCATCAAAGCAAGTTGAAAGCTCAAGCAAAAAGTTGAGAAGGATTCCTTGAAACTCTCCGAGTTTAATTGTTGGACAATTAATCTTTATCCAAAAGAGAGAGAATATATTCGTGGATATCATTATCCCGAACCAGTTTCATAATTAAAATGAGAAAAATGAAAAGGAACAGAATAGTAATATAACTAGAACTTGCAATCTCTGTATGATTTAATTAATTTATGCAATGGATATGTAGATAAAATCTGAAGTTATCATGGGACATAAGGTCGTAAATTAGAAATGAAAAACTAAATAAAACGTTAATACCGGAAATCCATTTATAATATTAATTAGAAAGCTTACATTGATGAATCTACATTATAAGACTGTAAATCATCAAGTACATTAGTTTTGTATACATCTCCTTAATTGCACATTTTAATTAACACGCTTGGTCCAATAAAAATATTTCGATTTTCCATAGACCCCTTTTTTTGTTATTTCCATAGAACCCTTTCCTCCTAAACAGTTCTGCCAACTTCCGCCTTCTAATCCTAACTCATTTATATTTTTCCTTAGTTGACTGGAATCTCGATATTATGATTTGTAAACTCATTTCGTTTTTTTTTCTTTTCTTCTTCTGATTTCTTTCTGATTTGACCTGATCTACGTATCAATGAATAACAAATTTTACGCAAATGACCTGTTTTACGTAAAAACGCCTTTATACAGTGGTCAAGTTATGCAAGTATTAATGCAAGTATGTTGGCTTCGAACACTGAAATTAGGAACTCTGCCCTAAAATATAACCTAAAGTCATAAATAACAAATTCACTATCCTTGAAATACCTAGAACGTAAAACAGAAAATAATACAAAACAATATCTGTAGCTTTTTCTAATAATATTAAACTAATTATAAAAAAGGTAGAGTCATTGAAATCAGGATCTTAAAATATTCACACGTCTGATAGATTATCAACTACTTTAGTGTTGCACTACGTTAAATATTATTTGTAACACACAGAAGTAGTTGTTTGTTGATCCGTGCGATAACCCAAGAAAGTTTTGTAATTTATCTGACAGATTAACGTGTCCACATATTGTTTTAAGTCTACGTTTAAGGCGTATGCTCATTTCCTACAGTTATTATGGAGAGTTTCCGTTATGATTAACAAAGAAATACGAGTCGTCAAAGATGACTTGTCGAAACCTTCAGTGGTATTTTTCTTAATTAATTTTAAATGAAAAAATGTCTATTACGATTTAGTACATACAATAATCAAATCCCACAACTGTTGTTTTCACCCGCACAAACACACACAACTCTTACACGTAGGCACAATTATGTGAACTGCAAAAATGTTCTCAAAATAACGGCTTGCTAATTTATTTAATTACATTATAATTAGTAGTTTATACAGCAATTCATTCGAAACTACTTGTACATTTCAAAAGAACATAAGAAATTGAATAACATTTGTATTCATAATGAGAATTAATAATATTGTTGAAGAGTACTTTGTAAGAACCTCCTCATATAATAAATAACAATGTCAAGAGGGAAGAATTTCTGAAAATGCACATCCCTTTAGTATCAAATATACGCAAGCGAGAATTTCCTTGAGCATGAAGTGAAGATAAAGTGACAAGAAGTTAAGACGATTACAAGTTAACGAAAATAAGCATGCCGAGTACCAAGAAATACCCAAAATTCGAGATGTGACGTATAGAAAACAAACTAAAGTAGGTTTTAAATGCAGTTCTTTAAAAGGATCCTTAAATATTCGTACTTACGAATATAACTATTTTAGGTCAAAACAGTTAACAAGTTTCACGTTCACAATTCAACACAGTGAAATTTGATCGCAAAAAATAATGAAAAGAAATATCCAATATTTTAACGTAACAAGATTAGAACAAGATCTGTACACGGGAAGTGAAGCTACAAAATTTACTTGAATTAATATTATTACAGTAATGTAGTAACTCTTTGTTCGCCTTTTGTACGTGGAGGTGAAAGGTGAAACTCCTGTAACGAGATAAAGCAAGAGTCACAGCTGGATAAATGGGAAACATCTATTGGTAAGTAATTATGAAGTTATGACATTTTTATACGAAAAAATCTATTAGTGAAGACGTAAAATCTGTTTTACTGCGATTGCTTTTCCAACAAAATTATTCTCGGGATTTGCTAACAGACTTGTTGACATATTTGGATTTCTCTGAAAGATTTTTTTAGAAATCTTTGAAAGTTTGTCATTAACGAGTACTTCAATAGAAAACTACTATTGAAAACTAGTAGGCAGAATATGCACGAAGATCATTGTAGACACGTCGCAAATGTTGAAGCCGAAGTTTTAATTCGGGGCCAGGAAGTAAAAAAAATGAATGTACTGCGTGAATGTGACCAAAGCAAGACCCAGGATCTTTGTACAGAATATAAAGTGCCAAAATCTACTTTTTTTACTTGCAGTTTACATGAATTAAAAATATAAAACAAACACATTGTTTATAAATAACGTTTGCAGTAAAAAACAGTATTTTCGCTTAACAATCACTTTTTTCAATAGAAACAAATGTGATTCGATGCAGTAAAAATAAATTCCTCAAAAATTCCGTTGAAGAATTACAGAACTTAAATGAGAAACTGGCCAGGTGAGACACCAACTTAGCGAGAATAAAATTTCAAGCACCTTGAAACCCCACCTAGCCATATTTTACAGGGCAAATCAATTTCGCGGCGCGGAGGTATTCGAACGCCTCGCGTCGACCGTGCAGAGTTACTCACCAGGCGGACCTCGTTGCCGGCGCGCTTGAGGGCGTCGACGGCGGCGGCGTGCGGCACGTCCACCACCGTCACGTCGTTCACCTGCAGGATGGTGTCGTTGACGCGCAGCCGGCCGTCGGCCGCCGCCGCGCCGCCCGGGATCAGCTTGGTGATGTAGATGGCGGTGTCGTCGCCGATGTGCGGGTTGTCGGTGCCGCCGGCGATGCTGAAGCCCAGGCCCGCGCCGCCGCGCTCCAGCACGATCTCCTCGAACTCCCACTCGCCATCGCCGTTCACCTGCAACGCGCGCGCAACCGTTACACAATGCTCATGTTTCGCTTCACGAAACTCTAAAAAAATAGTAAAAGTTGTCAAGAGTCAATTGACAAACGTACTTACAAAGAACAATTTTACTTATTGTTCTCGTGTACGAAGGGATTGTAAATAAACGTTTTATAACAATAAAAACATTCCATTAGCTGAATTCTATATCTACTTAAGAAAACCAAGCGCCTCTACCGAAATCAGATATTCATTTGTTGAAGCCCTACAGATAGGAAATTAACTACGCCACATGCATTTTGAAATGCTTTGTAAGTATGCCTTCGAGAAACCAGGTTAATTTTTAAATAGTTGAACTCGTGTGATTCTCAAATATGCTTATTTGTTAATGGAAATCCTATTTATAAATAAGAGCACTTTACTTTATTCGAACAAGAAAAAAAAGGTGGAAAAATTGACGTTGTTTCCAAAAAAATTGAAAATGTGGCAGTAGGAGTTTCGTATAAAGTGTTCCACAATATTATCCTTCCTTCCTATCTACCTATCTACCTACCTTCCTTCCTTCCTTGGCATTATTGCGTTCTACATACTCAGCTATACCTTACCACCAGTACGTCAACAATATAACTGAAATTTACTTTAGTTTTTATCTTTGTTTTATTTGCGCACTTAACTACTTAAAATTATATTAATGCAAATTCAATTTAACCTTCAACGAATTCAATCTCTAAACATAAACATGAAATGTTGTCATTTGTAAAAATAGCAATGCCATGTTTAAAATATTACAATGTTGCATCAACAAATTATTGCAATACCTACAATTAGTTAGCCTCGAATACAAAAAACTATCTTTGTTACCAAAATACAAGAAAATGTAAAGCACACACTAATAATGAAATCCAATATTGCCCGAATTAAACAGAATGTTTAGTATATTCCATTAGCCAATTTAATTGCAAATTAACTGAATCAAATGTAGTGACACATACGCATTCAAAGTAAGCTCTGGGAACTGAAGAGAACGTAGCAATTTCATAGCAATACACTCAGCACGACTCTCCGCATTCATTTAGTGAAGCTCGCTAATATATGCGCATGCATTCACTTTTTACAACGGGATGCAATATCTATCTCTGCGTTAGCATTCACTGCACACTTCAACACACCAGAATACACCCTTTAATATTACACAACGTAGTCATTATAGGTATTGCGTTCAGTGGATTGCAACTTCCTATTCAGAGAAATAAAAAGTGGCAGAATATTCTGTATATTTTATGTCTAGCACAGAACAATATTCGCTACTGTGTTTTGTTGGCGCTCTTTAATGGAAACTATACTAAAGAGAAAATAGGCTATCGTTAAATACATCTAAACGTCCCTGAAAACCATCAATTACAGTAATTTTCTGCTTGAACTATAAATCCTTAAAACAATATCCGCAAAGGATCTTAATATCTGAAAGTGAGGTAAGCAATTGTCTAGCCTCTTACAAATAGGCGAAAGTTAATTTTAATTTTCTGTGCAAATACGTATTTATTTGAAAACATAAGGCGAGCGAGAACTCATTTTATAACACTGCTCCACAAAATTGAACAGACTCGCACTGTATGAAATATAATTAAAAGTACTCGAGTATTATGAAAAACTACTTTTTGTTTTGTAAACGCTCCAAGCATTTCAATGGTTTGTCAAAAATAACTCATGACGAAACCACAATTACTTAAAACAAATTATCTAAATCATTGCAAATTTGTCACGACAGAAACAGCGTGGGAATATTTTGATTTCATTCCATACTCTTTTTTGTTCCCATCGTTTCAATATATCAGTTCCCCGCTTCCCGTTAGAGAGCGAAACGGAAAAATAATGTTGTTGATATACCAAATTCTGACGATAATTCTCGTGCAGCAAAACACTTTAATAACTCTTAACTTTATAAACAAAAATATAGTCTTTACGTTTTTGTTCGAAAGAGAAACTGCTAAATACCACCAGCTTCGGTATATTAACAATTCAAAACGCCCTTTATTCATCGATTTCAACGAATACCGTGTTTACAAAACGACAATGCAAAAAACCACCACCCTGCTCTCCCAATCCCAACCGCACCGCAGGCGACCCGCGATTCGTCAACGAGGGCCCGCGCCATCGCATTTCGCCCCGCCCACCGCCAGCGCCGCGTGTCTTTTACCGCCCGATTCGCGCGTGCCGAAGGGCGCCCACCCGCCCGCCGCAAAATTCCGAAGCCATTAGCGCGCGGCGGGCGTCAACGCGCGTGGGAGGCAGGGGCGCTTCCATCAGCGCAAACAAGGGAAACACTTACCGGCGCCACACCACGCCGCGCCCTCCGCGGCCGCTTCAAAAGCGACGCGCCCGTGCGTGCGAATGCGCCAGCGGCTTCGGGAGGGCGAGGGGACAGACGTGGCGGGGGAGCGTGCGCGGGCGGGGCTGAGAGCGGGAGCAGGGGGGAAGGAGTTCGAAATGGAGGTGGCTGCAATGCATGGGATGGAGCAGCACGTGTCGAGTGGCAGATGGGGGTGGGTGGCGGACGAGATGGGAAGCTGGGGAACGGTCCGAGTTGTGGAATGGGGAGGGAGGGACTAATTCCCTCAAATAATACCCAGCGTATCAATAGCTTAGAGTAATATCCCAAAATGGCGTCGTTAATTCCGCACTGGCTTCCGTGATGGGACGCACGCAGCAGGCAGCGTCGGCGGTGGAAGCAGCAGTGCTGGGGCTTGCGGTGGCACTGGTGGCTGCGGTTGCGGCCAGCGATGGCAACGACACGGCATTATGTGTGCGCTTATGCAATATAGATGAGAGAGGAGTAAGGTATAGTGACGAACAGAGATTTCGGGAATAAAATCAGATACGAAGCCAAAAAAATAACAAATAAGTCATTTGTCCGTTGTGTATCAATCTAGGCTGAAAGACAATAACAACAGTGGATTTCCAATTGTTAGCATATTGGAGTGGCAGAGTACACGGAGGTGATGGAAGCAACGGGAGGGGGTCAAATGTTCAGCAGCACTGCAGAAGGGCTGAGCTGCCACTGCGTTTTGGCAAACGGGCCATGATGAGAGGGTGGCTGGTGGAGAGTTGAGTAGGTGGGGAAGCAGCGGGGAGGTAACGATGCTCCATCCGCAATATTGCGCGAAGCCATCATCAGATGATGATCAACGCACATCCACTAGATAGTGAATTTAGGTCGAAAATGTCATACTAGAGAACAATAGTTTACATAATGTCGCCTTCATCCAGATACAACTGCTGATTGAATACGCTGACATCAAATTGTGATTGTTACTTCACATATATACGAATATCATAAGTATTGTGAAAAAAAAATTATTATTAAACTATGTACCGGTCAAGAAGATATGTTTACATTCTTCTATCGAATTGTCATTTCTATTCATAATTTTCAATAGATACTCTTATAAAAATTTCGAATGGAAAACACCTGTCTTCAACAGATCAAATATACATTCACTAAATTTACCACAATGCCTTTTGTTCTCTAACATTTCAAAACGTACCTTTTACGTATTTTTAATAAATGGTGAGTTGCTATGTTTGCCCAATTGATTTTAACCCAATAAAACGTAGGATGCATTACATTTGTAAATATTCCCTCCGTTTTTGAGGAAAGCCACCGGTCCGGAATTTATTATCCATTTAGAAGTTGCAATACGAATCAATATAGAATCTTACGCTAAACGTATGCAGGTTTGATAAATACAATCTATTGCTTGGACATGTCTCTAAGTATATCGTTAGGATATTAAAATAGTTATCGTAAACCAGTTTTCATATATTATTTTAGTTCACAACGAACTGCCTCCGCCCGCCTTCGCCCTCTCTGGCTGCCGCGCCGCAGCCAGTCGCATTCGGCCTAGTGCGTGGCAATTTGTCCATCCGCGCACCTCTCGCCCTTTACGAGCCGCGCCTCCCCCTGAATGGGAGTGTTTGTGTTTCCCCACCCCACGAATCCTCCCACACCCGCCCTGCAGCACCTAAATGCCTCATCGTTAGTTCCGGGGCGCCGCTTCCGATCATTTAAATTACATTTCATTTTCGGCCGAAGTTCTTCGGCGCATTTACTTTCAGCGGAGGTCCGCGCTTTAACGTAAATTTAAGCTGCACGTCGCTTTCAAGACGAGAGTGCGCATCATAACTCAAACGCTTAACGCAGTAATAAATGGGATGGCGATCTTGCGATAACTCGAAAAAGACCTGGTAATCGTTTCTTAGATGAAAACAATGAAAGCATTTGAATAAGGAGAACCAAAAAGGGATTCGGAAATGAAAAGAACGTCCTTCTCTAGTTTCTAAAAGAGTCCCCTTTCCCTCGTTCACACTGCTGACCAAAACTAGAGACCCGTCGGCCAAAATGGATGGAGTTATACATTCAAATCTTCCGCAATAAAAAACTGCTCTGACAAGAGATTTTATAACGCCGCTGGCGTGGAATTAAAGTTGGCGTGCGAGTTCCTGAGAGGGGCGGTACGGAAGCACGGGATGGGTCGTTCCGCTTGAAGCGACCGCGGCAGCGGCGGCGACGTCGACGGCGGCCGAGGCAGCGAACGCCTTGCGCGCAGTCGGGTAGGCAACCCGCGAGTCCTCGGCGCCCAGCACGCTGCAGCGACACCTTCCTCCGCGCCTACTGCCGCCGGCGCCGGTAGGCCGCGGGCAGCAAGTCGCTTTCGCACAGCGATTACGAAGTAGCTCGGCGAGAGAGAAGCCGACGACTTCACGAGTTATGGTGGAGCGCAAACGAAATTTCTCGCTGTTATTAGGGATGCCGAAACGCACACTGCAGTTTTTCCACAGAATACCCTTCACTAACATTACAATTACAGTCTCCGATCTAACTACAACGCGAGAACTACTACTACCATTATTCTCTGTATTGAGAAGAAAATTTATTTTAGACAAAATTATATTTCATCCTACAATTACTGGATACAAGAAATTTGCGAGTCCAATAAATATGGCTCGTTTAAATC